TGCAGCTGTTGACACCGACCAGCGACAGTGTGCAAAGCCACCACCTCAAGTGCCACCACCAGGGTTTTGGCTCAGCTGTGTCCTCCCCACTGTGTCCCCAGGAGGGCTGGAAGCTGGTCCTTGTGCAGGAGGTAGGGGATAGCACGATCTGTCACCTCCATCACCCCTCTCCCAGCCCGGAGATGTGAAGGCTGCCTGCTGCAGGAGACTCAGGATCGAATTTTAATTTCAGCAGAGCTTGGGTAAGTGGGAAAAAGGCTTTGAGGACATCTCTGCCTGATAAAACCCACTGCACTGAGCAGGTTTTACCTACCTACACCTGATCCTGCTCCAAACAGCACAGCCAATCCTTTCCCTTCCCAAGCACAGCTCTTAGCCCAGATCCTGCCCAGCCCAGCTTCTCTGTGCCCACCCAAATGGCTCTGGCGAGGAGGCCTTGTCCCATGTTCTGTTGAATTCAGGAGCTGCGAGTTCCCCCTTTGGGTCTGGGGGAAATGACAGCCTCCTGAGAGGCTGGGTGTGCACCAGGGCTGCAGCACGGCACAGGGACAGGCAGGATCCTTTTGGGGACAGCCCCCTTTCCTCCAGGCTACGACCTGTGTGTCCCCTCCATGAGGTGAGTCCATGCCAAGTGACCATTTTTTCCAGAAAATCAATTTTCAGGATCAGAGAGGCCATCACCCTCCTGGAGCAGAGCATCCGGCTCCTCCTGGAGCCCGTAGTAGAGCTCATCCTCCTTCCCGGCGCCTTTCCAGGGGGCTCGGGGCTGCTCTCCCCGCTCCGGGGAGCTGCTCGGGGGGCGGCCGGAGTGGCTGGAGCAGGGCAGGGTCCGGCTCTGCGGCGTGGGGCTGCCGGGCACGGAGCCCTCCAGCGATGGCGTGTCCATCTCGTCCAGCAGGGATGCCAGCGGAGCATCCCGCGGGGCTGGCCGGGCGGCGCTGCGGGGACACGGGGACACCGAACACGGCTGGGCAGGAGCTGCGGTCCCGCCGGAACCGGCATCACCGGCATCACCAGTCCCCTCGCTGGGTGGCTGGAGGGGCCTGGGATGTCTGTCCCTATCCCAGCCCTTGGTGCCTGCTTTTTTGGGGACACCTGCCTGCCCAGGGTGTGAAGTAGTGGCTGTCCTTGCACTTCCTGAATCTGCAGCTGGGATGGGAAAGCACTGCATCCATCCCAGCTGTAGCTACATTTTGGCAGTGTCTGAGTCCTCTGCCCTGAGGCTGAACAGAGACCCCCATCACGTGCAGAGCCCTCTGGGACCTCCCAAACCAGTGCTTGGGCATCATATGTGGCATCTGGTTTGAGGGTGACGTGCTGTGCGTCTCATTTCTATCAAAGTCTGACCAGGAACTTTGGGGTTATTGTTGTGAGGGACACTGTTTATATTGATAAAATGAAATAAAAGCAAAATGCGAAAACGCAAACATCAAAATGCAAATTACAACCAGAGGCCACCTAAATTTCCTCCTGGGAAATCATTTGGTTCAGAGACTCCTCGTGGGTTGAGACACCATCCCCACCATCCAGTGGGGCCAAGGGTGTGGAGGCTCAGTGCTGTGAGAGCAGCAAAACCCCTCTGCATCCTCTCCCTCCCCCAATACTGGGGGTCTGATCCCCCCCATTTTCACTCCTCATCCCACCAGTGCCACCCCAAGCCCGCAGGCATCACCTACCAGCTGCCTGCTGCTGTTTCCAGGCGGGGTGCCAGGTCCTGGAGGGGGTCTCCAGCCCCCAGCTCCCTGTGGATCTCTGCCTTGGCCTGCAGGGCTGGCTGGGAGCAGCTGCGGGACCGGGGCTGTGCCGTGCCCGGGGGTGGGGCTGAGCTGACCGCCTGCCTCTGGATCTGCTCGTAGGATGGCAGGCTCTTCTCGTAGCTGCTGCTGGCCTCTTGGCTGGGGCAGGGGGAAATCAAGCTGCAGGCAAAGGGGTGACAGGGTGCTGAGCAGAGCTGGATGCCATGGAGCTGGGAGATGCTCAGGCTCATGCACACAGGGCTACATCACCTGAGGGAGTGGCTTTAGAGGCCACCAAGGCCGTGTCACTGCCCACACCAGCAGCAGAGCCAGGGCATGCCTGCAGGAACACCACTGGATGCTCTGCCTCCCCCAGCATCACTCAGGCTCAGCCCTGGGCAGGCTCAGGCAGCTCTCACCTCTCCCAGCCTGATCCCTGCTTGGCATTTTGTGCTGTTCCCAGTGTCAGACCCTGCCCTCAGGGCACACACATCAGTCACCTTGCTGTGGGACCCACCTGGTGTCCTTCTGTGGCAGCACCATGGGTTTGTGGTCCAGGAACCGCTTGGCCTCGAGGTCTGCAGGGACGAAAGTTATCTGGGGAAAAGAGAAGCAGAGCCCAGGGGCTGTGCTGGGCATCACAGGCACCCTCACCCTCATAGTGGGGAAAGGGCCAGAGTGTCCCTTCAGCTGGGTTTAGGGTCTTTCCCCACCATATTTGGATGTTTTCCTTGGAAATGGCACTTTTGAGTGAAATCAATAAGAGAAGAATGAGTCCAGCCCAGCCCTGCTCTCAGTGCCTTTCCCCCTGTGGGGTCACACGTGTCCCCAAGCCCAGAGGGAGTCACAAGGCCCACACAGGAGGTCACTGGTCAGGGACCATGCCCAGGGTGTCCCATCCTTGAGCCTCAAGCACGGTGGCAAAGCCACATCTCCCTCCTAGCTGGGGCTGAGCTCAGCTTTGAGGGGAGCTGGTTTCTGCTCCACCCCAGTCCCAGGGAACACAGCTGCTTCCGGAGGTCCCTGCTGGTCCTGGGTCCTGAGGTGGCTCCCCCACATTTTGGAGGGCAGCCAGGTTGTTGATGGGCCATCCAGCAGTGCCCAGATCAGTCCTACAGATGCCCTCTCCTTGGAAAAAGCCCTTTTCTGCCAGAGCCGTTTCCCAGGGCAGGGACGCGTGGCTGCGCTCCGTGCCCTCTGCCAAGGAGACTGCCGGGACCCTCCCACCTCCATGGCCACCACAGTCCCTTCTTGGGACTCCTGGGAGCCTGCCAAGTCCCGGATCCCAAGGAAGGGCTGCGTGGGAGAGAGGAACACAAGTTTCTTTCCTTGGGATTATTCCCTGCTGCCTGTTTGAAAACAAAGCCCCAGACGCAGGGGGTGAAGGAGATGGGGGCACATCCTGCAGGCATCAGCAGGGCACAAGCCTCCCAAAACAATTCCTCTTCCAGATTGCTGCAGCTGGCTTCCCCTGGGGAAACTGAGGTTGCACATCCACAGCAGCCAAAGCCCCCCAAAGCCAGCTGAGCCCTCGAGCCCCCCAGAGTTCCCAGCAGCAGGAGGGATCCTACCTTTGGGTAGCACTGGCACATGCTCCACGTGATGCCCACGGCTACGAGCAGCACACCCAGGACACAGAAGGTGATGTAGTACTGGGGCTTTTCCATGCTCATGATGAACATCCCCAGCATCACCAGGAAGAAGCCCAAGATGATGAACCCGTAGCGGAAGGTCTTCTCCTCTGCCATGGGCTCCGGGTGGGAGAGGCAGGAGGAGAGACTTTGGGAAGCCCGTCCACCTGCGGCTGCTGCCTGCTGAGCACACCTGCAGCGCAAGGCAAGGGGTGGTTTCTCTCTCCAGAGGCTGCCAGGAGCTGAGGATCAGCTGCACGTCGAGCTGGTCCTGCCCAGGGCTGAGCCAGCCAGTTTTTAATGGGTTTGTAATGAATGCAAACACTGCCCCGCCGTTCACACTCCAGTGGAGCCACCCGGCACGTGTCCGGGTAACCTTCCCTGCAGGCACGCTCAGCCAGACCCCACACCTTGGGAAGGGACAGGGGGGACAGGGAACACGGCTGCAGGGATGGGGACCCGGAGACCAGCTGGTGTTGCCGGGATTTTCCCAGCCCTGGGCACTGGAGCTGGACTCGGTCATAAATCAGAGCTGGCACAGCCCCAGAGAAGGGGGATGCCAGGGCCCAGCACGTTCTCAAGGGCTAAGGGGCTGCAACAGGAAAAGAGGGAATGCTCCAGGGTCCTTTGTGGCAGCACAAAGGACCCTGGAGGGTCTTTTGGAGCAGACCCTGCGTTGCTCTGGCTGAATGCTAAGGCTGCCTCACTGGGCTGTGAAGGAGGAACTAAAGCCAGAAAAGGATGGAGTGAGGTTGATCCACCCAGAGAGAGTAAAGACAAAATGTCCCTGTGCCCTGTGTACACTTAAGTTGGAAATGGGGTGTTAAAAGGTGTCTCCATCCCACCACACATCCAACAGCCAGACAGTGTTTGTTTTATTCCCTTGATTTATTCCCTTGATTTATTCTCTTGATACACCTGGTTTATGACAAATAATTCTATTATAAACAGTATGTTAGATGTGGCCGTGGCTCCTCAGCCACTCTGCAGCCCTGCAGGGCCTCAGGGGGCCCAGGGCAGCGCTGAGTTCTGGTGGGATGCAGGACCTGGCAGCAGCCCCTGCCACAGCTTTGGGCAAGGCTGCACGCCCACCCGTGGCGGCAGGGAGGGAGGGGGCTGTGCCACTCAGGATGGCTTTTCCAGGAGGCTGCCTGGCATGCCAAGTGCACTCGGATGCTCTGACCACGGGCATGACCCCCTGAGCATCGCTAATGCCACGTGAAGTGAGGCGTGGGGGCTCAGTATTTAGGGAAACAAGGTGGAAGGGGTGGAGACAGGGCTGGAAGGGGCGTTCACAGAGAAGGGAGCGGCGCAGATGGAGCTGGGCTTTCTCTGCCCAGATTACTCGTTCTGTGCTGCAGATTTATTATTGAGTGGGCAGCTCCCGGCCTGACAGGAGCTCCCCAGGGTGAGCAGGGAATGCAAAGCCTCTGAAACCAGCAGTGGTTTTATTAAAAATATCAAAGCTTTCAAACATGCCAGCTACCCCCGACGCCCTGAGCACATCTCAGGTCCCACGATCCCCACAGCGCCGGGAAAGCCGGGCTGCCCCTTCCCGCTGCTCGCCCGCCCCGCTCCCACCCCGGCCGAGGGGCTCGGCTCGGAGCTGACCCGCAGAGTCCCGGCCGGGCTGTCACAGCCCCCGCTCGCTGATGTTCTCGTAGCTGGGCGGAGGCGTTGCCTGCGGCTCCGGGGGCTGCCCCGGCTCCAGCCGGGCCGGGCCGGGCCGGAACAGGGCGCTGTCGGAGGAGCTGCGCCGCCGGCCGCCCTGCCAGCTCTCGTCCTGCTCCAGGTAGCGGTACAGGGGCGGCGTGAGCTCCTCCTTGCTCCCCGGCGGCTGCACGTAGGCCGGGGCAGCGTGGGCTGGTCTGCAGCTCAGGGCTTCTTCGTAGGTGGGGATGGCGCTGGAGTCCCAGGGGCTGTGGGGGAGAGGAGGGAACCCAGCAGTGCACACCATCAACATCCCAGCACCCAGCTGGAGCATCCCAGCATATCTGGAACATCCCAGCTTCCAATTGGAGCATCCCAGCACCCAGATGGAACATCCCAGCACTCAACTGGAACATCCCAGCACCCAAATGGAACATCCAGCTTCCAATTGGAGCGTCCCAGAACCCAGCTGGAGCATCCCAGCATCCAGCTGGAGCATCCCAGTGCCCCATTAACTGGAGCATCCCAGCATCCCATCAACCCCATTGTGTGGAACATCCCCGAGCATGATTAACTCGTGTACTGGGCAGAGCACACGGGCGGGTTTTGCTGAAGTGTCACATGTCATGTGTCATGGGGTGACCCTGTCAGCTGCTTCCTGGCATCCACGAGGTTTTCAAGAGGATCCCATGGGCAGGAGAGCATCCTCACCATGCCTAACCCCGAACTCACCCCCTGAAGAACAGAGGCTGCTGACAGCTGAGGGAGCAGCTTGGCACAAGGACCGGGACAACCACCAGGCAGCCCAGGTTGTTATTATGATATTTTTTGAAAAATTCCTTCACCGGGATTTTTTCTCCTGGGAAGCTGAGAAGCCTCAGAGGAACAGAAAAACAATATTATCTGATTTCTTTCTCTTGTTTTGCTGCTTTAGAACGTGGCAGGTGCATGTTTGATTAGTTCCATGTGAATTGTTTTTACTTAATAACCAATCATGGTCCAGCTATGTTGGACTCTCTAGTCTGTCACAAGATTTTATAATTCATTCTTTTCAAGCCTTCTGATGTATCCTTTTCTCTATAGTTTAGTATAGTTTTAGTATATAATTTCTTATAATACATCATAATATAATATAATATAATATAATATAATATAATACAATATAATATAATATAATATAATATAATATAATTAATATAACATATCAGCCTTCTAAGAATATGGAGTCAGATTCATCCCTTCCCTCGTCCTGGGACCCTCACAACCATAACACCAGGTCACTGTGGTCACACCCTGCTCCCATGGCAGCCAGAGCCCTCCCTGCACTGGCCAAGCCTGGTGCCACTTCCAGCAGAGTTTTCCTGAGCAAACACAGCTTGTGTACAGGGAAAACCTCTGACAACCTTTGCCCTGCACATGGCCCTGCTTGCACCAGGTGCAGCCCCAAAGCTGGGGATGCTGTGAAAGCAGCTCATCACTGCAGGTGAAAGCCAGCCCAGTGTGCTGGGGGGGGGCAGCAGGCATGGGAGGGCACAGCTGGTCCACAGGAAAAGCCATGTGCTCCACAGGGATCCTCCATCCTGGCCTTGGCAGATCCCTGTCCCAGACAGACCACCCCGGGCTTCTCTGCCAGGGGTTTTGCCAAACAGCCTCAGCTTGCACAGCAATGCTGCCTTGGAAATGTGGAGAAGAAGGGGATTTATCCCAGCACAGGATGCTTTGCTGGGGCTGGAGGAGCTGCTGCAGCACCAGCACTGCCGGGGTGCTGCATCCCATCCAGCAAGGGAGCTGGGAGCTCAGGGAAAGGGACATTCCCCACAGGGGCACAGCAAAGTCCCTCCCTGGGACAGGGAACCTCCCCCAGATACCCAGAGCTGCTCACAAGCTCACAGATACCAGATGGGCACTGAAACCCCTGGAGAACCAGGAACGTGCCTCCCACTCCAACTGTGTTTTTATGGTTTAATGTTCTCAGGAGTTTCTCTTAGTGCTGCTTTTCCCCAGAGCCCCATTTATGCTGGAGCCACGATCTTTGCTGTGACCCCATAAAGCAGCACTGGGAAGGGCTGGCTGGTCCTGCTTCCACAGCAGTCTCCAGCAAATAAAAACCCTTTTTATAAAAAAACCTTTTAAATTAAGAAGTGGGAGCAAATCTCAGGCTCACACTGGAAGATCCAGGGAACCTGAAAAGCAGCAATGGTGTTCAGGGCAGGGCAAGGAGTCTTTCCATACCCTGAAATGGGCTTTATAAAGGACCTTCTGCCTACATTTCTATCTTGATGCCATCCCAAGGATTATTTTCATTATTTTTTTTTCCATTTAACTTCCTTGTAAGAAAGACTTTGCTTCCATTAAAGATGTTACAAACACCCTCATCCTGACAGAGCACTGCAGAGCTGCCAGACAAGGACTGGAGCTCTGAGGGACCCCTCCCCACCCCCACATCCAAACCTTCTGCCAGAAAACCAATGTATTCTTCTGCTTGGTGGCCCTGCTAAAGAGATGTGTCCCTTGGCATGTGATGGCCCTGCAGGGCACGGAGAGCTGGATGAAGGGCAAGGAAAGCAGGATGAAAGGCAAGGAGAGCTGGATGCAGGGCAGGGAGAGCTGGATGCAGGGCATGGAGAGCTGGATGCAGGGCAAGGAGAACTGGATGCAGGACAAGGAGAGATGGATGCAGGGCAAGGAGAGCTGGATGCAGGGCAAGGAGAGATGGATGCAGGGCAAGGAGGGCTGGATGCAGGACAAGGAGAGCTGGATGCAGGGCAAGGAGGCCTGGATGCAGGGCAAGGAGAGATGGATGCAGGGCAAGGAGAGCTGGATGCAGGGCAAGGAGGCCTGGATGCAGGGCAAGGAGGGCTGGATGCAGGACAAGGAGAGCTGGATGCAGGGCAAGGAGAGATGGATGCAGGGCAAGGAGAGCTGGATGCAGGGCAAGGAGGCCTGGATGTAGGGCAAGGAAAGCTGGATGCAGGGCAAGGAAAGCTGGATGCAGGGCACAGAGGGCGTGGGCAGGGAGGGCACTGCAGGGCTTGGGCTGACATTAGTGAGCAGCAGCAACTGCTCGGGGGGCAGGAGGAGAGCACAGAGCAGTGCTGCTGCCTCTGTGGGCTCCCCAGCCAGCAAGGCTGGCAGCAGGTTTAGGCTCAGACCCATCCTCCACCTCTGCCCACCCAGGAGCTGGCAGGGACGGGGCTCCCACCTGCAGTTCCACTTCTCCGGAGGCTCGGCCGTGAAGTACTGCAGGTCCCGGGGGAAATGGTACTGGTAGCGCCGGGACACCACCCTGGCGTTGGCCTTCACGGACCACAGGAGGCCGAAGATGAGCAGGATGCCGCCGATGCCGCAGCAGAAGAAGCTGACGGAGCGGAGCAGGGCGCTGGAGGAGGAGGAGGAGGAGGAGGAGCTGGGCACGGCCTCGGCCTCCCGGGGAGGCAGGAGGCGAGCCCCGCTGCCGGAGCCCACCTCGCCATCGCTCCACCAGGCGAAGCACAGCGTCCCCGTCACCAGCAGCACGGCCCCCGTGATGGTCAGGCCGTAGCGGAAAGACGCGGCTGCCATCCTTCAGGAGGAGGGTTTAGGAGGGGACAAGAGTGAGGCAAGGCATGAGAGAGCCTGTAAGACAAGAAAGGTGCCAGGTTTGAGTGGGAAAAGCTCAAAGTGGAAGACCTGCTGGAGGACAAAATGACTGGGTGAGTGTCGGAACCCAGGACATCCCTCTGGGTGCCCTGGATGGCTCAAGATCCTGGCAGGGGCTCGGAGGCGCTGGCAGGAAGCCAAAGACACTTGGGATTTCAATCTTAACCCATGGAGCAAATTACCAACTTTATATGAAGAATTGCAAGTCACAAAAGTTTAAGTAGCATCATAGTAGTTGTCACAGGGTGAGAGGGGGAACTTTGAAGAATTTTACTATGGGGGTCTAGGGGACAAGGTGGAGGGATTTGGGCATTGTCCTGTCCTTCTTCCTTCTTCTTCCTGGCCTCCATCTTCTTGGTGATGGTGGCACTCTGGGATTGGTGTAAAGTAAAAAGTCACTGTCTAACATAGGTGATAGGTATTGGAACATAACTGTAAATATCGAATACGTAGTTTATAGTATAAAAGACAATGCCAGTCCCATGGGAGGGCAGTGTGCCTCAGACTGACCTGCAGAACAGACCTCAGCAGGCCAGACAGAAAATGTTTTAGATAAGAAATAATAAACAACCTTGAGAACGACAGCCAAATACTTCTGACTCCTTCTTCGACAGCCGGGTTGGGGAAAAGAGACTTTTAACACATCTCGGGGTCATCTTGACCAGAGGAGATCCCGAGAGGTGAGGAGGTCTGCGGGGCTTGCAGCCCCTTTAGCCATTATTATTGTTATCCATCAGAAGGGGCATCTCCACCATCTCAGATGGGAAGTCCCTGGGAAGAGCAAAGTCAGCACCAGGTTGGACCCATAAACTTCCCAAGAGCCTCGTAAAAACATCCCAATTTTCAAGGAACAGCACAAAGGCAGGATGGACACCCCAGCTCCGGGCGCTTTCAGAGCTCTTCTCTTTGGGTTTTATTCCAGACTTCCTCCCAGACTTGGGGGAATGCCAGCTGGGTTTCCTGGGCTTTCAAAGCATGGCTTATGGAAGAGGTCAGAGAGGGGAACATAAATTTAAGATGTCATCGCTTCCAAATTATCAATGTGCCTGTTTTCTCCTCCAGAACTGATGACATTGGAAAAATCTGCTCAATCTTCATCCACATGAAGTTTGGCACACAAAACTTTGCTTGCCTGGGTCAGCTCCAGTGCAAACTTTCTCAAGTTCCTGTCAAGATTGACCCTGCAGGTGTTATCACCTTATCAACCTTCACCCTCCCTGTCAGGGTGGTTTGGGGTTGGTTTGACAACCAAACAGGTGAGGAAGAGCCACACGCTCCTGCTGGGTGGCCCTTCTCAGCTAAATGTCACATGCAGAGAGTTTCCCTGGTGCTGGAAAACTTGGGGAGGGGGAACTGCTTTCTGATCTCAGTCCCCATTGCTTTCTCCAGCAAACAGCAAGCATCTGCTCCCTGAGCTTGTGCATCCCCAGCTCCCAACTAACCAGGGAGACAGAGAGGTCTCCCCACGCCCCCTCTGGCCCTGCTCACTGCCCATCAAGAAGATGCAGGTTCAGCTCCCACTTCTCAATGGACAAAAAGCTTTGGACCATGTGGGAATTAAGCACCAACACCCCCAAAGAGATTCAGTCCTGGGTGACTGCACTGTGCAGGTTTGTCATGGTGGCAGTGCCAGCAGAGAGCCTGCACGTGAGGGATGTCCAGGACAGAGGAGGAGCTCAGGCAGAGGTTGGTGGACAGATGGATGACACTCAGCTGTCACCTGTGACTTCATCACTGTGCCTGTGTGTCAGTAACAGGACCATAATGTGGTGGCTTTGGTCTCCATTCCTCCAGGCAGGGCTCATCTCCTACAGAGGGGTCTTAAATTGCATCCTGAGATCAGAAAGTGCAGAGCCAGAGCCAGGCAGGGAGCAGAAGTCCAGATGGACTTGGTGTCATCAAGGTCAGGTGGAATTATGTTATTTCAAGGTGTTAGTTATCAGATGGGCCCACTGAATGGAAAGCCAAATTACCTTGTAGTGAAAGAAACACTACCTGATCTAATCAACGTTTAATGAAGGAATCTGATGAGAAGTGAGATTTAGGAAAGCTGCAGGAGTGGGAGCCCCAACAGCCCACTCCAGCTTTTGTCCCAGGGTCACAAGTCCAAAATGCCACCTGGGCTGGCTGTGGCCAGTGGTTCCCAGCTGTGGCCACCCGCTGGGAAGGCAGTCCTGTTCCTGGTCTGAGAAAAGGCAGAGCTCCCCTCTGCAATGGGGGCATGTTTGGATGCTCCCTCCTGAATGGCAGGGGCTGGGCTGAGCTGAGATGGGGAAGAGACTGTTGGAGATGGTGTTCGATGCTGTCAGGGATCAGCATCCCCAAACCATCACTGAACACGAGCAGGACACAGCAGAAGAGCTGGACTCGGGTTGCCTTGCAGCAGGAGATGCTCAGGAGAGCACAAGGACCCCAGTGACTTGTGAATGCAGCTCCTTTGGACAGCAATGCATTTTCATGTAGAAATTTCAGCATATTGTTTAGAGGAAAAAAAAAACCCATCACCCAAAAAAACCCCTACAGCAAAACTCTCAATCCAACTGCATGGAAATGCCAGGTCACTCCAAACTGAGACGCTGGACTGAACCTGCACTAAGAGTTGAAATGTTCACCTCCTGCAACAAACACTCTCCTCATCCTGGGGTCAGACTGGTGAGGTCTGGGAGATGCTCTGAATTCCCCGGTGAGATTTAGGAGATGCTGTGATTCCCCTGCCTGGGCACGGGGAATTTTGCAGCCTCCAGCGCTGAGCACATCTGGGAGAGCTGGCAGCGAGGGGGAGGCGGAGGGAAGGTGGAGAAGCCTCCGATGGAGGAGCCTCTGGGAGTGATGGATTGACAGCTCCAGAGAATAAACTCTTCTCCCCTGACGAGCCCAGCGCAGCGCAGGGAGCTCCCGCAGCGCCCGTGCGGGGGCAGCTCCGCCGCGCTGGTGACACTGCCACGGCTGGGTGACATTGCCACCGCACCGTCCCCTTGCCGAGGCCCCTCTCGGGCTGCCACAGCCCTCCCGAGCCTCTCTGAAAGACCCGCGGTGTTTTCTCAGCACAGCAAGCGCTGGAAGAAGAGTCTGAAGCAGCAGGGAGCGAGGTGCGAGGCTGGGGCAGGACCCGAGGCTCCCGCAGCCTCTCCCGGCTCCGCTCAGCATCCGCACAGCAGCTCTCCCTCCCCACGAGCATTCCCAGCACAAGTTTTCACGGAGCCACAGCAACTGCCGGCTCTCAAACAGCCCTCTCCACTCTCCGAGCCCGCCCTGACATTTTGTTCTGCCCTGTCTCCTCCTCTGCCCTGCTCTGGAATAGTTTTCCGGGGAGTAGATTTGCACGTTTCATGTACAAACAGATAATGTTGATAGTTTACATAGTTCCAGCGAGCCGCTGAGAACAGCAGCCCCCATATAAAGTTATGCAGATGGTGATTCATAGGGTCTACTAAGCATTACTCAGAAAAACGCTCTTTTCAAGCAACACGAGAAAAGAGTTTTGAACCTCTCCCACCGCCATCAAGCAGAAATCCACCTCCAGGCACTTACAGACCGTCCTTCCGTGCGGGCCGGACACCTTTAATCACAGGAGAAGAACGCCGGGCAGGGATGCACCAAACACAGCGTGAGCGCGTCTTTAGGGAGATCCCTTCCTGCCTCTGTCCAAATCTGCTGTTTTGTTGTGACAATCACCAGCGAGGGTTTGCTCCCCATTCAAAGCAAAGTAACAGCGATGCCTCGGAAAAGCTTCCAAGAACTGCGGCGCGCTCATCCTCCCGAGGCAGGCGCGGGCAGAGGAGAGCCCGTGTGTCCCCTCAGAGCCTGTGTGTCCCCTCAGAGCCCGTGTGTCCCCTCAGACCCCGTGTGTCCCCTCAGAGCCCGTGTGTCCCCTCAGAGCCCGGGTGTCCCCTCAGCCGGGCTTCGGGGCCGTGCCTGAGCCCCGCGTCCCCTCTCCGCCGGTGGCGTCCCCTCGGCACCCGCGGGGTCTGTCCCCGGCACAGCCCCGTCCCGCCCGGCACAGCGCCCAGCCGGGGGTTCCCGTGTCCCTCCCCGTGTCCCCCCGTGTCCCCGCCGCGTACTCACCGCCGCCGGCAGCCCCGCTCCGCCGAGCCCGGCCCGCGGGGCGGGCGGGNGGCGGGGGGCGGCTCGGGGCGGGCAGGGACCGGAGCTCCCTCCCGGCACGGCACGGCACGGCACGGCACGGCACGGCTCCCCGCAGCCCGCTGCCGGTCCGTCCCGTCGGGATTTGGGCATGCAGAGCCCGGGCGGGTCCCCTGCGGCTGGGACAGCCCTGCGCTGGGGACATCGCCGCTGTCCTGTGTGTGGGACAGCCTCGGCAGGGTCTCAGCCTTGCTTTGTGAGCACTTTAGTTCTGCTCACCTCTGCGTCAAAAGCTAATGTTGTCCCTTTTCCTCGTTTATGGAATTAAAACGGTTTGGAAGGACCTTTTAAAGTCCGTGTAGTCCAACCTCCCCGCAACCAAAATCTCCACTTTGATCAGGCTGCTCAGAGCCCCATCCCACCTGGCCTTCAGTGTTTCTGGGAATGGGGCATTCACCACCTCTCCGTGCCAGTGTTTCATCAACTTCACTGTAAAAAAATTTTTTTTCTTTATAGCTAATCTAAGTCAACCATTTTTTTAGTTTAAAACCATTACCCTGCAGCACTCAGGACACCTGGATGTTAAACAAGCTGAGGGTGCTGTGATCTGAATCTCAGGATGGTCTGGTATGACAGCATCTGGATTCAGGCACAATTCCTCACCACGGAGCTGGAGGGAGATTTGATCAGGAGCTGCTGTGCCGTGCTGTGGCTGTGCATCTCACACATCCACAGATGCGCCACAGATGCTGCCCTTGGGCTACAGCTGAGCATCACTGACAGGTATCCATTTCTCTGGGTACCCTGGGCTGCTGTTCCTGCTCTGCTTGGAGCTCCCC